TACTGGATCCAAAGGAGCCTACCAGACTCAAGAGGAATGTGAGCAAGCCATCAGGGTGCCTAGTAACAGTCACGCCAGAGTCTCCAGTCAAATGTCAAGTCCTGGTAAAGGACAATAACAGGGCCCCATCCTCCTCTGTGTTCCAAGTCTTTGACCCAAGGCATCTCATTCAACCTTTATTTTTTTTATACTTCTGCTTAAGAGTTATTGTATTTTCATTCAAACTCTGTCTCCAACCTGCCTACTGCTGGAATCTCATTCAGCAGCAGGACAGAATGGAAATGTCACGCGCAACAGAAGCAGCAACTGTTACTACGGCAATTTGCTAAAAAAAAGAAAGGAAGGGAGGGAGGGAGGGAGAGAGAATGGCACCAGGCTCTCCATGTAGGTGGAGATAAGCAATTATTCACAAAGACTGCTGTGAGAAGTGAGATGGAAGTGAAGGTATGTGTAGCACATTGCACACTCTCTCTCTGTCAGAAGTCTGCATGGATTCAACAGTGACAAGGGTACAAGAAGGTAAGTCAGCACTTTAAGAAGTCAATACACAGTGGTGTTTCCAATATACTGACCCCTTTTATACACTCCCGGGGTAAAATCGCCCACTAGTGCTAAATGTCATGGCTTCAACAGAGCAACACTAATTTACCCCAGCTGAGGATCTTGCCCCAAATGGCTGTGCAATGTGCATGTCCAGTTATTTGTCTGGTGGTAACCTCTTATGTTGGTATGGAGAAAACCAGAAGTCATGATCTTGTTCCTAAGAATGGCCACTGTAAGTACCCAAACCCTGCTAAGTCATATTCATGGTTTGTTTCCATTTCCTGTACATGACACAGCCATAACAAAACTGCCATTAGGTGCAGTATTCTGGAAGGTTACTGCAAAAAAACCCAACCCCAAAACCCATATGGAGACACCTTTGACTGGCATGTGACATTGAGAATGGGGAAGAGGAAAAGGAAGCATACAAATGTAGGGCAGGGAGGGACCTCAAGAGGTCACCTTGTCCAACCCTCTACCCTGAGGCAGGATCAGGTCTACCTAGACCATTCCCACCAGATGTCTGAAAGGCAGACAAAGGCTTGAGCCCCATTTACCATCAGAAAACACTACTCTTCAAAGGTAGCTTATATGAAAGATCTGTGGCACTGTGGCCAAAAGGCAAGAGGTATAGTTCTTAGCTGCAGACCAAAGCATTACATTTACATGTGACCCATGGCCAAGTGTACTTCATACTCCATGCATGAGATACTCTAAGCAGCTTGCTACAGTGGGCACAGATGATAACTGGCAAGTAACACCCTGGAATCTGGATTTGGACAGAGAGGGCTTTAAACTGCCTCCCACCTCAACAATGCCTGCTGCAGAGTCACTCAGAGCATCCCCACTGCAGAACACAGTCGTGATTGTCTGGCATGTTGTTAAGCAACAAGGGTAAGCCCCCCCCAAGGTCCAGGATTTCTACCCTCAGAGCAAGAGAGAGAAATATCCCACAGAACAGCAGCCCTATAGACTTTTCAGCTCTCCAATAATACCATGTGGATCAGACTAATACACTGTGGGCATGCAACAAGAGAAAAGCACATAGGCTGGTGCTTCCCAGGGGAGTGGGAGGCTGCTATTCTGAGAACCATGTGGGATTTAATTTTAGATTCTTTTTTCACTTTGTGCTTTGCCTTATTTTCAACAATAAAATATGCACACAGGATAAATACTTTCCAGGCCTATGCCTGTCATTACCCAAGGAAAATGAGGGCCCTCCCAAATTCTGACAAACACTGGTGATTTTGACGTAGGCCTTCTCGCAATGGGGAAATCAATGTGAAGACAGGGCAGTGATTTGTTCAGTGTCATCTACTGAGACAATACCAGAGCCAGGGATCATATTCCTGACTTCTAGTTCTGTGTGTCAGGTGAAAGATCCTTGTCATAAATCAGAGCAATCCCCTCAGGGCTTCTCTGAAGAGAGAAAAATGGGATCAAATAAAGGGTTTCCTCTCCTGCCCCATCCCAAGCACTCTTCCAGAAAATGAAGCAGGAGAGACAATGATCTAGAAAACAACACGGTGGGAAGAGTCTTAGCAAGAAATATGCTGGGAAGAGGAGTTAAACATGTGTAGGTCTGTCACACCAACACGTTTCTGCCACAACCTGCAAGCTGAGCACCACCCATCATCCAGGGTATCTTGTAGTGTACCATACGCTTGCTGTCACTTTACCTTATACACCTTGGAGAAGAAGCCACTACCTATCAGCTCAGCATTGAAGTTCTCCCAGAATTCCAGTTTCCTGACAGCCGTGCGGAGTTTCTGCCAACGGTCAACATGGTAGTAGGTATCAGAAGACTCTCCATAATACTGCATGGGGCTGGAGGACTCCGGGGAGAGCAGGCCGGTCTCGCACATCATGGGGACAGCAGCTGAAACAAATCACATCTTGCAATGAGCTGAGGGTGACAACAGCAGTAGAATTTACAGAAAGAACAAGAATCTGTGATGGATTCAGGCAACAAGTCCTTTTGGGCTTTCCAGTGAGTCAGTACAATGGTCGTTGTTGGCTCTACGACGTAGATTAGGATTACATGCATGATGTTAACATGTTGGCCAACAAATCTAGTGCGGTCATAGCATGTCACCTCTTCTATATGCTACACTGGTCCAATGAAAACTAAGAGGGGTGTCCCTTGTTTTGTCAGCCAGCTTGTTAAAATTTAGTATTGCCTCACCCACACTATCCATTTAAATTGGATAGTTAAAATGAGTTAGCCAACACACCAACAACAAAGTTTTCATCATAAACTAGATAAGATTTTGGACATCATATTATCTAGGAGTGCAGGCATTTTATAGCAGTCCTCTTATAGCATGTAAACACCATCGTGATTATCTAGTAATTCCATTTTGCCTCGTATTAGTAGGTCATGATTAACTTTAGGAGAGAGCCTAAACACATCATCAATCATCTCTTTTCCTAGTCAAGACAACCACTGAGGCTGTAGGGAAGTGGGGGTGGGGGGTGTCTCCAAACCCTCCCCATTCCTTCGTTCTCAGCTGCAAAACTTCTGTCATCTCACCCATCATCGACCACCCTGCCCTGGTTTCCTCCCCTACACTTTCAGCAGTCATTGTTTGTCATGCTGGTACAAGTGAGATATGGATTAGATGCTGTGGATTTATGGACACTGGCACAAATCCTGTGAGAACAAGACCTGAACCAGGCTCCACTTTTGCAGCTTTTTAAAACAAATCACTTGTCTGCTACAGAGCGGTTTGACAACACTCCACTTGCAAGCATGTTAATGGGTAAATCTGGGCATGCTGTGCCTGAAGATCTCTGCTAGTCTGTATACAAACAGAAGTCCTTGGCTAGATTGTAACCTAACAGCAGTGAAACAGAAGGATAATCCTGCAAAGTCATCAACTAACGCACTTCAGGAATTCGGACACCCTCAGCACGCTGTAGTACTACCGTGGCTTTCACCCCCAGTGAAGAAGAGGTGGAGCTCTAGATAGCAGGCCCATGCAATCCTGCTGGTTAGTACACTGCTTCTTTATATCTGGAGAGCTAGAGCCAAATCTGGGTTGGCACATACATGAAATGAGTATCATAGTTTCAGCCTAATCCACTACAGAATTCAATGAGGAAAGCAAACTGATCACTTCAAATGAGACTACGAGAAGTGAACTGGAGACTGGGAATTACATGTACTAGCAAGGCTAGGTAGAGGCAGAGGATTTGAACTTAAGCGAGTCAGAGCTAAGATGCATAGACAGAGATGGGAGAGATGGTGGAAGTGCATAGGTGAAATAACACAGGATGCTGCGGACAGACTAGAACCTAATGCAAAACTGCTTTGGGACTTAAATAGCTGGGGCTGGGGGAAGGTCTGGGTTGAGATACATCACAAGAGCTGCAAATGGGCTCAAAACTTGATGATTAAGGCCCCAATACTGCATACTTTTATGTGTGTTAACATGGAGTGTACAAGTATAGTCCCACTGAAACCAACAGATTGTGTGTACACGTAAAGTCAAATATAATGCATAAGCATTTGCAAGATGAAAGCCAAAAAGCTGCTAATGAAACAGAAGAGGTCCACTCTCCTTTTCCTCAGAAGAAAAGCAAAACCAAACAGCCAAGTCAGCAAGAGCTTGGATCTGGCAGATGGTATGAAAAGTCTGGCAGAGCTGTGTGAGAAATCAGCGCTAAATGAATCCATCTTCAGGTGGATGCAAAAAGCACTGACATTTTCCTTTATGAAATGCCACTGGAGATATTTGCTGATAGCTTTTCTCATCCCCAAGCCTCCGTACTGGGGGTGGATTTCCTGTTATTATCAAAGGCTCAGTTCCTGGCACTGGCGTTTCATGGAGGAAAGCTAATTGCTCTGGTCCACTGCTGTGACTGCAGAAAGACTGCTGTTGGCAGCAGCCAACCAAGTCAGCCTCAAGTTGGCACAAGCAATGTGAAGCCTAAAAAGTCTCCCCGTACTGGGACTCCACACCCAGCAAAACCTAGAAACTGAGGCTGATCCTTCCTGTCCTGCAATATATGGGTCCAAACAAGAGTGGAGCAGAGTAGGTTCACACAAGATGGGGGGAGCAGGGATCAGAACACCCTACTATAGCAGACCGGGTAAATCTGGGGAGCTCAAAGCACTTTCCAAAGAGCAATCAGTACTTGGGAGGCAGGGGCAGAAGGAGGATGTCGATGGCATTTCACAAGGCTTGTAGAGCCAAAATCCTTCAAGTGAAGCACTGCCAGTGGCTCCTACAGTGTCAGCATCATATACCATGAGCTGCTTTCTCCAAGGCTGTCCTTTTCTATTCAGACCTCCCCCTAGGAGGTCATTCCTTGTCTGCAGGCAGGCCAGCATCAGTAGTGCCCTGTTACAGATCGGGGACCAGGGATGGAGCCTGGCACTGACTTACCCAAAACCCAGTCAGTTAGTGGCAGGTCTAAGAATGGAATCGAGAGGTCCTAGCTCCCAGGCTGCTGCTACAGCCAGCAGATTCACAACCACCCCATCCCTCCTAGGACTACAAAAATAAAACCAGATCTTTTCTTTTTCCTTTCCTTTTTTTGCTATGCAAGCAGCATGCTTGAGGACTCCCCTTTTCTCTCTCAGCCATTCAGATTCTGCCCTGTTCCCTGCCTGCACGAGGTGCAATAGCTACAGGTTTCTCTTAATGAAACAGGCTGCCTGGAGGTGGTTCTTTTTCAGGGAAAGGCTTCCTTTTTGCAGCCTCTCTGCTCAGCACTTTTCCCACGTACCATCTCCTCCCGGCTGACCTAGTTCATCAATCATTTCTTTGTCTGCAGGAGAATTCCAGCAGCATCCTCGAAGCACTGGAGACAGCCCCTCCCATTATTCTGCTGAGTGGGAGCTGATTCTTTTTTTTTTCCCTAAATGCGGCTGGTTGTCCTCAGATTAGTGCTGACATGTCGGCTGGGTGGGAAATGGCCTTTCGAAATGCCAAGGTTTATTTCAAGGCCTCTTAGGAACATGTGGGTGCTTAGAGCAGCATCTGTACCATGATCAGGCTAAGCAAAGCCTGTAGCCTTTGGGAGGGTGGAGGACAAGGGGGGACAGAGCACAGCATTGTATCATGATGGAAGTTTATACTGCAGAAAGCGGGGCTTTTGTGCAGGCACAAGAAAGGGTTTAGTGGCTTCCACTGTATCCTTGGTACTCTCCATGAACACACAGTTCACTCCAGCTGAGATTAAATTCTACACTGAGAACCACTGGGCCAAATACAAAAGGGGAAGGAAATGAAGCAATTTGCGGGAAATTCAGCCTAATTCTCCACTGACTTCACTAAGTTATGTCAAGTTATCCCAGCTATAGAGCTGGCTGTTTAAATATAAAGCTGTACTTCAATACACTAGAGAAATGTAAGAGGGGCAACGTGGCCTGGTGCCAGCTTTCCCCTCCTAGCTAGGGAGACCCTTATATCCCAATACCTTTGAGTGCTGAACAAGAAGACCCAGCTCCTGTAATCCCACCAATTCCAATGCTATGCCTCCAATAATAGCATGCACTACAGAGAAGGAACGGGAAAGCAGCTAGAGAATCTCCAGGACATCTAAGCACTATGAAATGTTGTTCTGAGCAAGCGCTGTCACTCACCCACTGCCAGATAAAAAATTATTAAATCAATAATCCTTTTAAAGAGCTGATCTAAGACATCATCTTCCTCCATGTCTCTGAGTGTGTTGCATCTTTTCTAATTAAATTGTAAAAGCCTCCAAGCAGGACCTGTTGCTTCTTCTTGTGTTTTCTGCAGCCCTATGCAAACTGTACTGGATTCTCAGTTGTGCCAATCAGCATAACTCCTTAAAAGTTCATGGAGCTAGGTTAATTTATGTCATTGGGGCCATAGTTCCCAGTGGGATGATTAACTAATTAATTAAAGAAACCGACAGCATGTCAAACATACTCCACTTGGGACAGAAGCACAAATCCATATCCCTTTTGATTCTTGCACCATCTCCTACAGTCACCATGCAGCTGGGCATGACAGAAGCATAGGAAATAATAAGCAGAATGGAAAAGGTAAACCAGACACATTCCAATTTACCCTAATCCATGAGCAAGCAGGCAATGACAGTGAGAGGCAGCATGGTTAAAACCAAGAGAAGGGCATATCGTTCTAACATGCTGCGAGAATTAAGCCTGGGGAACTCTTTTCACACAGTACCAGCAAGGTCAAGACCTCAACAAGATTGAAAAATGAACACTAAAAGTATGCAGATAACCAGGACCTCCAAGGTTAAAATAGATAAGGCTCACCAGTTTTTTTAGATGGAAACTGTAAACCTTCAGGCTATAAACCAATGACTAAGTACCAAGCCATTACCCTTGCAGCTATGTTATTCCATATTTGCCTTCTCTAAAGTTTTTTTTCCTCAGGAGCATCTGTGAGACTGGCCAGAAAAGCAACAATTCTAATTTTCAAAATGTTTCAATGTTTAGAAATTTGTTTTCAACCTAAAATGGAAGAAAAAGAGAAGATCTTTTGAAAGTTTTCACAAAATGGGGGCAGGGTAGGGAAGAGCTACTGGCTAAATGACCCAGTGGTTAGGGCACTGGCTTAAAATGATGGATGGTCAGGTTCAAGTCCCCACAGGAATTTGGCTTAGTAATTGGTATTCACGCTCTTTCTACCTCGTGCTCTCTCCCAACACCCCACAACAACATTAGTCTTCTCTGACATCACTGTAGTACATATTCAGGCAACCCAAACCCACAATAGGTTGAACATTTCTAATCTGACACACACAGTGGGCTTCTGAAACAATGCCAGCCTGCTGTGCCTGCTGCTGGGGTTTGGAAAAGATACCTGTTGTTTGAATAGCTTTAAAGCACAAACTCATGTTTATATAGTAAATGTATGAGATACTCAGAGATTA